AAGTGTTTTCCAATAAATACATGCTTTCAACAATGAATCAAGTAAAATGAATTAAAGTATTCCCAATTGACAAATTCAGTTAACAAAATATCATAACCAAAATGGTTAATATTCACGATTAAATTGTTTTAAAATTCAAGAAAATATATTATGGGCTTTTCTTTCATTAATTATGTAATTAAAATGTAATCACAACTAAAGGAACTCAACTCAAATCATTCCCCCAATAGACATACATGAAAACTAAAAAGTTAAACAATAATCAATCATTTGACGGTCAGACTAGACACTCATTACTCAAATCATTCCCCCAAACAATAATCAATCATTTGACGGTCAGACTAGGACACTCATTCATCCCTCGAACCAATTTGTCATAACTCGAGAGGATAATTCTCATAATAAAAAAGCCCATAAATTCGGAGAAAATACATAATAAGCTATTCTCATAATGAAAGTACAATCAAACTAATATATATATATATATATAAACACTTAAAAGTTAAACAATAATCAGCCTATTTACACTCAGAGCAGCCAACCATCTATCATTTTGCACCAATTTGTCAAGAGTGACATATTTAAGTTTTCCTAAAGCCCACAAAAGTCCAATATCATATCAAATTTATTCATATTATTACACTTAAAAATCCAAAGCCAATAAGGATGTTTTCAGTGCTCTCTGACGAAGTGCATAGTTTAATGGGCATCAATATATTAAAATTATAACCTAAGCCCAAATATTCCACAATAGTTAAATATATGATTCATTGTTGATGTTCATATATGTCACACAATCAACACAACCGAATATAATGAAAACTGTTAAAAATCCCAACTGTCCCTTGACACTTAATCCCACGGCCAATATGGGAATTCGTGGGAGGCTCACTTGGATCACGCCAATCTTTGTTAAATATTAGTCGTCCCTTGACACTTGATCTCACGGCCAAGATAGGAATCCGTGAGAGGCTTACCTAGATCATGCCAATTCCTTTCTATATTTGGGCGATTGATTTAGGAAAGATTATATTAAGGCAAATATGCATGATTTTGTAGTTATTTATTTCTTTATTAAGACATCTTGTATAGATCTATAAATAGTGATAATTTTGTATAATAAAATTAAGTTTTTTCCCTCTCAAATTCTCTAAATTTAACATGGTATCAGAGCATTCATTGCATTGGCCAGAATTCTGAGTTTTTTAACTACCGGACTTTCTGAAGGGAAGGTCGGGCCTTCCCTTCAAAAATGAAAGGGAGTGAGTTATTGTTTGTTCGTTCATACATACGTCGAACCGAGAGGAGGGAGAGTGCTTCATCCCGCGGTCACTGCGTTCGATCGAGAAAGAAAAACATTTTGTGAACCCCTCTTTTGTGCGTGAGACCGAATGGGACGAGAGAGGTGTTGGGCCAAACCAAGCGGGATCGTGTGTCCTTGAAGCTTGCCGCATGAGGAAGCCTTCTCTCGCATGCGTTTGGGGCGGAACCGAGAGGAGCCAAGAAAAAGCTTGTGTCTGGATGAGAGACCATGCGACTACATGGGATGAGAGACCATGCATCTGGACAGTTTTTGTCTCGCCCACTAAATTTCTCATGTCCTCATCTGCTTCAAATCCTGTCGACATTCATGATGCCACAGGTTCCCACCATCGACCTTCATTGTTGGAATTATGAGGAATAAAAATTCCCACCACCAGCCTTAATTGTCGAAATTCTGAGGAATATTGTTCTTTCCATCGGCCTTCATTGTCAGAATTCTAAGGAATACAAGTTCCCACCACCAGCCTTCATTACTAGAATTCTGAAGAGAACAGGTTCCCACCACCGACATTCATTGCCAAAATTTTGAGGATAACAGTTCCCACCACCAGCCTTCATTGCTGGAATTCTGAGAAATACAAATTCCCACCACCAGCCTTCATTGCTAGAATTTTGAGGAATATTGATCCTTCCACCAACCTTCATTATTGGAATTCTAAGGAATACTAGTCTGCTTTCTTTCTGCATCGAAGACCGAGGAGAGATCGAGCAGAAGGGCTCCTCTTATTTGGGAAGGATTATCTTAAGGCAATTATGGATGATTCTGTAGTTATTTGTTTCTTTATTAAGACTTCTTGTATAAATCTATAAATAGGGATAATTTTGTATAATAAAATTAAGCATTTTCCCTCTCCAATTCTCTGAATTTAACAAAAATGACAGCCAATTGATGTGATGCATGCAAAACTACTTCAAAACACATCAACCTCAATCAAATAAGCTTAAATGTTGCACACTCCTGAAGTGGATTGTGCTAACACATCCAAAATATCAAGATTATCTAAGAAAGACCCTCGCAATAGATTCAATCGAATGCGAAGAGAATGACAAACAACGAGCAAGCATCACGCTAAAGTTATTTGAACATTGCCTATTCACAAAAATGATTATGCTGACACCCCTAGAATATTGAAATCATCAAAGAAACACTCACACTCAACTCGACCAAGCACGATCAAAATGGCAAATGACGGATGCGAATTCGCGAATAACCAATCAATCATCAACCATTTTTCAAAATGGATCGCATCAACATCTATGAAATTATGAAAATACCTATAAATAATACTTCATAATGCCAAACAATCACATGATGAAAAAAATATACTACAGGGGCGACATTGTGCAAATGTCGCTCGAATACTACCCATTCACAAAACAAACTATGCCGACACATTTGGAATTTTAGAATTATCTAGAAAGGGCACCAATATTACCTTGGTTGTCACTCAAGTGGAAAACACAAAATTCTCTAATGCACGAGGTAACAACAAAAATTTTGAGACACGCAAATATGAGAAATTGCACGAAAGAGACAATTTTTTTACTTTATTTTTTATTATTTTAAATTTATTTTAAATCAAAATAAAAAATTTAAATCACATGTTGCAAATTTTGGTGTTGATTGGGCCTTGTACACATCATCCCATCGCACCTCTGCCTTATACTCAGCCATGTCGCCATCCCTTCGTTCTCTAATATATATACATGCCCACAAATTCCCCAATGACTAAAAAAAGCCCTTCAATAATAAATCATATGATGCACTTGATAGAACATAAAATCTTCTATTAACTAAGATCAACTTAAATTGCATACCCTTCAGACAAGCATCCATAGTAAATATATATAATTCTCTTGGATAATGTAACTCACAACTCTCAACAAGGATCCTTCGATTAAGTTAGGTCAACTACATCCTCTGATTAAGTAGACTTGAGACCATAACAATCTATGATAATTGAACTATGAGATCTTGATCGAGTTCATCATTATTCCACCCATCATCAAATTTAGGTTTAAGTGATACTTTATAATAATATAATCCTATATAAAAGTGCTTCTATTATATGTTAAACATCTAGCTTCTAACATTTAGCCTTAATTGAAGTTTTCTCTCATCGACGGGAGGGATAATTAATTATAGGTGCAAGTGATTATGAGAAATCTAGAACCATGTCTTAAAGCCATCACAAAAAGAGGTGAAATCTCTAATGGATATCAACTGCAATCTAATATGACTTTTAAAATTTTAACCTGAAATATCATAATTCTCTCAATAGAGCCAAGGCACGAATTTTTGGATCCCACAACCAAGAGCCATAAGGTACACTTAAAAGGTCATGAAACCCTTTGTTAACTAAAATCAACTTAAAATTGGTCCCTTCCACAAGCTTTAACCAAAGCTTACAAGGTCTCATTAGATGATGCAACTCATGGTTGCTCATAATGATCCTTTGGTCAGATTGGGTCAATTATGTTTGCTACTTTGGTCAAGTAAAGTCCATGAGAACTTGAGAGGATAGAATCATGTAATCTTGATTAGGTTCATCGTCATTCCCCCCACCATCTACTCTAAGCATATAGTGGTATGTCTTTTCCCTAATCAAATTGCTGCTGCTACAACAATGCTTTGTAAAGCCTCTTGACTACCCTTAATCAAAATTTTTTTCTCTCATAATTGCACATATTAAAAACTTTCGAGCATATTATGAAGTTCTCGTAAGAAAGTGGAATCTCCAAGTAGTGTTTTATTTAAAAAACAATTTATTTTCTAAAATGTTTATCCAAGAACCAATCAAGTATCATAAATTTAAATGGGAATTTTTTGAGTCCATAGAACCTTCCAAGGGAAGATTCTCCTTGCACCGGTATGATGCTTAAATCTTCATTTTAGTCACTCCCATCTTTCATTCTTTTATCTAAACTATTTTGTGATTGGTTTGTTAACATAATTGAGATCATGTCAAGTTTGTTGTATAATCATTTTTTATTTTTTTATAGTGTGGAACTTAATTGTTGTAGAATTTTATCTTTTGCTCTAAGAGTTCTTATGAAATTTCAATTTTTCGCACCTCCTATTATATGGCTTAGTGAGAATTCAATGTGCTTCTAAATTTGCATCAAATGAGACTAATCCTTGTAAAAATAAAAAATTGGAAAATTATGATTTTTTTTATGAATCACATCCTAGGTTTACATCAGTGACCCCTAGAGCTTAAGATATTCTGCATCACTTGATTCCCTATCCATGATCTTCTCCATATTCTCTTCAGCAGTAAATTCGGAAAAAGGGATGCAAATGTTCAGTCTAAGGAACTTAGCTAACTTTCACGGCTTTTCCTAAAAGTTAATAAAAATGATAAAGGTAAGAAAACATGTTATGCAGGCTGGGAGTGATGGATGAGGTTTTCCTAAGGTGTGGTAATTACACTCGTGAGAGGGAATTCTATGTAAACAAAAAAGAAGTGATACAAAAAGGCCCTACTCAGATTGAGCACGCATGGTGTTTTGCTTAAATTATATCATGATCCTTCCAAGGATAGACATGGTGAGAAAATTACTAGCGTTGCACGGTTAAACATAACGAGAATAAATTTAATGGGTCAAAAAATCAAAAATCAAAATAAAATTAAATTGCAAGATTTTGAAACTTAAATTTTACAATTTGAACTTACCAAATTTGGACATCTGACTACAACTTGCTTTTCCAATAATGCTGCAGTGACAAGTGCCAAAACCTAAAATATAGAAGTCTTGTTTACCTTCAGATAGAAAGTTGAATTAACATGAACAACACAATGTCAACTGCTAAAGAATAACTATGATGTTTTTAAAATGAAACAGTACAAACTTGAACAAACCAAGTCTCCATTAAAAATTAATTTCAGAGTCTAAAAATGTAACCTAAAACCATAATAATACAGAGAAAATTCTTGACAAAGGAAATTTGATAGATTTTCACTATCATGAAATAATGAGAATCTAACGCAAGATAGTCAGGGGAGGCATTACACTTTCAAGAGATAGAGCTCGACAAACTGCTGCAACGGTCCAAATTGAGAAGGCAAAAGGTTCTTCAGCAGCTGCTAATCTCGAGCTGAGCTGGTTGGAGGATTTCATATTATGAATTAAATGCTCTGCAGAAATGCATAGTATAAAAAATAGGCAATATGAAATGAAGCATCTTACCTCATTAAATTCAGGATGACCAGGTTTATCAAAGTCATAATTGCTATCCAATTCCAAAGAAGATGCATCTGGACGACTATACTTAATTGGTTGCAAATGCTCCAACGGGTGAAAAATTATTTCCTTGCCACGGGCGGGTATTGGAAGGGCATGATAACCACATACAATTTGCAGGGGTTCATTATTATTTGCCTGGTACCCAAAAAAAAAAAGAGCACTGACATATACGGTAAAAAAATGACAAAGGAACTAGCAAAACCAGAAAATCATACATAGAAAGTAAGGGTACCTTAGCCCATTGAATTACTTTCATATCAGCAGCATTCGCTTCAAGCTTTGAGCTAAATTCGTCCTCATCATCTTCTGATCCCACACCTCTAACTGAACTGTCCAAAAGAATTTAAGTGTATTCAAATAAGCAATTAATGACACAAAATTCACACAAGAAAAGTAATAAGATGTGTGTATCCATAAGGAACACAAACAAACTTGCACGAAGAAGTTCTAATGTTATCAGACCACACAAGAAATATCTGACGTCATTTTAATGAATTATAATACTGCTCTCCTACACGACGGCTGCATTCTGTCTCTCCTAATTTTGTTAAATCAAATATGAAAATTTTCAAACATTTTTACAATATGCTTTCTCAACCAACTATGTCTAGTCATGTTACATCCGTGCCCTGTGCTTAGCTAAGCTTTCATGATGTAGGATCAAGGTAGAAGCACAAGCAGAACAGAGAAAATCAATGGAACAGTGCAAGCTTCGCAAGCTGCAGAGCTTAATTCGTATATTTGGGAATATCAAGCATGTCCAAAACTTACAACCAAAACAATTATAAGGTCACACGCCTCTTACTAAAACTGTAATAACAACTAAAAAGCGATACCATGTACTAAGGTGTAAAAAGTAGTACTATCAGAGTAAGTGGAGAAATAACTGATGGGGACATCAGATTTCGACACGTGTACCATCGTCGACGGCGCAGATCGACGGCTTCGATCCAGAGCCTCTACTTTTGAGTTTATAGCTTATGTCATTTTGTTTTATTAGTTTTTTCGAGTTTGCCCCTGAGGGCATTGTTTGACTTATGTAGCCCCGAGGGCATTATTGTCTTTTCTTTTTTTTTTCATTTGGAGCCTCCATATATGAGGCATGATGCATTGTAATTTTTAGTTTTTGATGAAATGAAATTTATCCCCCTTTGTTCTCTTTGTGAGTGCATTTCCCTTTGATCTCTTAGTGAGTTCAAAGGGAGAACTAGATCTCTCCGTAAGTTCTAGACTTAATTCATGCTCGTAGTGTGAAGGTGAGAAGCGCAGAAATTTAAGGCGAGGAAATTCTCAGGTTTCTTCAAACAGGCCTTCCCCTTCATCCATTGCCGCCTCCATTGAGCCCAGCCAAGCCGACGGCCTCTCTGGCCATCCCGTCCTGGCCAAGCCGCTGGCCTCACTGGCCATCCCGACCCAGCAAAAGCCCTCCCGGCCGGCCCCAGCCAATTCTCCCTCCCGCCGGCCCAAAACCCCATCCAGCCACCGCCGGCCAATCCAGTTCACCGGCCCCTCCATCCCTGCCGCCGCCCCTATTTTTTTTTTCTTTCTTTTCTGTTTTCAAATTCTGAAACGTTTGGGTTTCAATAGCCTTTAATGTTACCTAAATTACCTCCTTAACTTAAGCTACCAAATAAATTGGTTGGATTTGAAATTCAAATTCAAATTCAACCCAATTAAGTGCTTAAGTTAGGAAACCTTTCTTTTATCCAAAACTGAATTGCTAATTTCAGATCTTAATAAAATCTGAGATTAATTTCGTGGACCCCACTTGCTTAATCCCCTCTTTCCCCCTTTCTCTCTCTTGGCCGGCCCCTCCTTGAGCTCTTCCCTCTCTCCTAATCACCCCATAAATTCCACAAATTCAGCCCCTAAATCCTCCCTATTAACCGCCCCCTCCTCCTCATGGATTTAATTTGATTTTCAAATTAAATCCCTCCAATTAAACCTTCCACAACTGAAATTCCTGCAGAAATTTTCCTGCAGCCTCTCTTTTCTTCCCTCTCTTGGCCTTTTCTCCTCCAATGCCCGAGCCACCATTCTCCGGCAACCTATCCAAGAACGACGATCCAAGGCTCCCCCTTCCTCGGAGCGACCTCGATTCTAAGGTGGAGACGTTTCTTCCGCTAAAGACTAGACTAGTTGAGTGTATGGTCTCCAAAGGTGAAAGTTCTTATTATTAAATTGTGGATTTTTGTTCACCGTCGTAGTTTTTAGTGACAAGCTTGATTCAATATATTATTTAATTTCAAGTGCAATTCTCACGACATTTCATGATAGTTTCACATCAATAACTATAACGAACTAAAGCAATAAGATAACTTATCCTGCATGAGCAAGATAAAGGCTCGGTACTATAGTGCTCCGCATCATTCGCCACGGCTACGAAAATCATTGATTACTCCTGAATCAATGGTATCATCGTTGTCATCTGGTAGTGAGTACGGGTAAAGATCTGCCACATTAAAAGTATGTGAAGTGTTGAACTCTGATGGTAGATCAATAACGTATGCATTGTTATTGATCTGGTGCTTAACTGTAAAAGGTCCAAACTTGCGGCGTCCAAGTTTAGAGTAGGTTCCCGGAGGTAACCGCTCCTTACTCAAGCGCACCAAAACTAAATCTCCCGTGTTAAAAACCTTCTCTCGGCGATGAAGATCGGCACTCCGTTTATAAGCCATATTGGACTCCTGCAGTTTAATACGCACCTTGGCCAGCATTTCGGAAAATTGCTCAGCCATTGTCGCCGCCGCCTTGTTAGTGCACTTAGGAATCACTGCAACATCAACAATAGTATTGGGAGACTTAGTATAAACAATACTAAAAGGACATCTACCCGTCGAACGGTTCGGCATCGAGTTGAATGCAAACTCCGCTTGCCCCAAGACGTCGTCCCAAAGTTTAGGATTATCCTGTACCAAGCACCGCAGCAAATTGCCCAATGTACGATTCACCACCTCCGTTTGGCCATCAGTCTGCGGGTGATAAGAAGAGCTAAGTTGGATATTAGTGTTCATACGTTTCCATAGCTCTCGCCAGAAGTGACTTATAAATTTGACATCACGATCGGAAGTAAGTGATCGTGGAACACCATGCAACCGAACAATCTCTCTAAAAAATAGCTTAGCAATGTTGAGGGCGTCGAATGTCTTCTTGCATGGTATGAAATGAGCCATCTTCGAAAAACGGTCAACTACGACCATAATAGAGTCGTTACCTCGACGAGTACGAGGCAAGCCCAGGACAAAATCAACACTGAGATCCTCCCAGATGGAGTTGGGCATGGGTAGAGGAGTATAAAGGCCGGTGTTTTGCCCCCCACCCTTATAATTTTGACATACGGAGCAGCGCTCGACAAATCGAGCTACATCACAGCGTAAATGCGGCCAAAAAAATTTAGTTTGCAGTTGACTTACAGTGCTATCCCTCCCAGCATGAGCTCCGAGTATGCCTCCATGTACTTCTTTAATCACTTGTTGCCGCCAAGATGAATTAGGTATGCATAAAAGATTACCTTTAAAAAGAAATCCATGCCGAATGGAGAAGTCTTTCATCGGTTCTGCCTTCAAGCATTGTTGCCATGCTTCACCAAAATCGGTATCTCCTGCATATAAATCCTTCAGTGACTCAAGACCCACAAAATCTGTCTGCAATTGCGTAATTAACGCTGCCCGTCTGCTTAAGGCGTCCGCCACCCTATTTTGCGCTCCACTTTTATGCTTGAGTACAAATGTGAACTTTTGAAGGAACATTAGCCACCGAGCATGCATCCGGTTGATATCTTTTTGTGTGTTAATGTATTGCAAGGCCTTGTGATCGCTGCATAGAACGAAATCTTGTTGAAGCAGATACGGCTCCCATTGCTTCAAAGCTCTTACGACAGCATATAATTCTTGTTGGTATACAGACCATCTTTGGCGGGCAGAACTGAGTTTTTCGCTAAAAAACTCTATGGGTCTATTTTCTTGTGACAATACTACACCAATACCAATTGCCGATGCATCGGTTTCCACTGCGAATGGTTTGCCGAAGTCTGGTAAAGCAAGTACAGGAGCTGAGGTTAGGGCCTCTTTAATTTTCTCAAAGCTGCTAGTCTGCTCGTCACCCCAGTGAAAGGAACGGGATTTTAAAACCTCAGTTATAGGAGCGGTGATGCAGCTGAACCCTCGTATGAATCTCCTGTAAAAATTTTCCAAGCCGTGAAAGCTCCTAATATCTGTGAGTGATGCAGGAGTTGGCCATTCCCGAATCGCAGCAACTTTGCGGGGGTCGGCACTCATTCCTTCACCCGAAATGATGAATCCCAGAAAAGAAACATAAGCAACTGCGAAATCACACTTAGCCATATTTAAGAACAATTTGTGTTGTCTCAGATTTGTAAGGATGCTTTCTATGTGGCTCAAGTGGTCTTCCATGGTACGACTTTAAACCAATATGTCGTCGAAGTACGCCACACAACAGTATTTAAGAAACGGTTTCAACACTTCATTCATCAACCTCATGAAGGTGGATGGGGCGTTGCAAAGACCAAAAGGCATAACTCTCCACTCGTACAGGCCTTCACGCGTCTTAAACGCTGTCTTCCACTCGTCGCCGGGACGTAGTCGGATCTGGTGATACTCGTTGCGTAAGTCCAGTTTAGAAAATATTTTTGCGCCCGCTAATTTCTCTACCATTTCTTCCATCCGAGGCATAGGAAAACGAAATTTCACCATGATTTTATTGATCTCCCTGCTGTCTACGCACATACGCCACGTGCCATCTTTCTTTGGAACCAATAGTGCCGGCACTGCACATGGGCTCAAACTGTGTTGTATCAATTGCTTGTCCAACAGCTCCTCGACGATTTGTTGTAGAACTGAGTGTTCCCCTGGACTGAGCCGATAATGTGGCAAATTAGGCAGTGTCGCACCCGGTATAAAATCAATCTGATGCTGGATTTTCCTCAAGGGCAGTAACTCAGCAGGCAAACTATCAGTGCAAATATCAGTAAATCTGTTTAGCAAATCCTTCACCTCAGCTGGCCAGTCCTTGTTACTGATATTAGATGTAACTTCTTTCACTATAAGGGCCATCATACTAGTAGTTTCCCTCCAAGCATTCAGCAATGCCTTAGACGAAACAGCAAACAATGCATTGTTCTTCTTGAGTGTTGTACTCTCAGAACACGGGTTATGTGGTACCAGGCGTAGCCGTCTCCCTTTCCAATCCAGTGAGTACGTGTTAGCTCGGCAATCATATATAGCTCCCATATCATATTGCCATGGCCTGCCCAAAATAATATGGCACACATCCATATCCAGGACATCACATAAAACTTCGCTAACATAAT